TCAATGCTCTGTAACCTAACTCAGTTGATGCCCCTACGGTATTGAAGCCAATGCATCGCTCTTTGATGACTAGCGATGAAATGATTGTAGATAAGACTCCACTGCTGGATTACTCCTCGAATCAATGGATCATCATTTCAGTCTTGAATATTGCACGATCCTCGAGCAAGTATCCTTCTTGTATTATGAACTTCTTTCAATCCTTGATACATGTATGCATACGTGACTTCTTGATTGAAATTTTTATCTCTCCTTGTGAAAATATTCTCTTGAATATCCCCTTGTGGATCAACATTTTCGCATTATGTCATGACGATGCAATGCAAATGCAAAAAGGATAAAAAATGACACAAACAAAAGAAAAGAAATATGTTAGTGTATACAAGCAAAGAAAATAAATTAGTTAGTACCAGTAAGATAATGATATAAATAAAATGTTATTCCAAAATGAATATACCTACCCGACATGATATCTACCCGAGCATGATTTAAATAGATAATATCCTACCCGGACATGCTTTCTACCCACAATGATCTATTTTCAAGAAATTGGTCATAACCCATAATATCTAGTTCGTATGCTTTTGTTCGAAAAAATATATTCTACGAATTTAAAGTAAAAATGTAAAGGTTTAAAGTCGTTCCTCCTTCGTGTACACCTATTTTGGGTACCTGCTAACGGACAATGGTTCGATATGACTATACCTAGGTGATTGTTCTACGGTTTACTATATGCATGGTTTAGGTTCTAACAGGAAAAGGGGACTCGAATTGTCCTTAATGTCGATGCCCCCTTGGACTACCGAAACCCTCGATCCTCACCCATTACAGGTTTCAAACGGAACGAGTTCAATTCGAGGGGATTCACTACTTTATACCCATACGAGGAATAAATCCCTACGAAGGTATAAGGTATGTATCCCATGGGTTATTTGCTAAAACTCATACGAAGAATAAATTCTTACGAGAGTAAGCATTCACCCGAACTAATTTCGATCGAAGCTCGTGTCTAGAATTATGTTATGCAAATGCTCGTGAGGTGTGTGAGGAGGGGCATACCTACCTTTGACTCAAAAAAGAAAAGAAAAAAACTCGACAAAACTTGGATCAACCTGAAAACAAAAAAAATCAAATGTTAGTATGACAACTAAAAATGAAGCAATTAAAAACTTATATAAAAGGATCATAGATTAACTAAAGACTCGAACTCATAAATTCGACCACAATGACAACGTGTAAGCGACCCACAGCTTGACTCTCTAAAAAAAGTCCCCAGTGGAGTCGCCAAGCTGTCATAACCATTTTTTAGGTAAAACAATTAATATTATTTTAAAAAACGATTATGACTTTAATTTGGAAAATTGTGATTTGGAATTAATTTGATTTAAATTGAAAGGGAGTCGCCATCGACCTTTGGGTTAGGTAGGTCAAATACCCAAAAACGTCTTTTAAAAACAATTTTAAGAAAAAACATTTTTTAAGACAATCATCTTTAAGAAAAAACATTCGCACAGTACTGAGATTGGATGCAAAATTCGAGCAACTGAAGAAAGAGCTGGAAGAGAGTTTGCAAATGATGCAAGCAGAGTGGGAAGTTAAAATGGATCAGGTATAAAATGTCACCATAGACCGTATCTTGCAAAATCAAGCGACCTAATGGATCAAATGGTAGCAAAGTTGGTTGGGCTCAACCAAGAAAGAGGCAAAGATAAGATTTCCTCGACTGGAGGAACCTCCGAATGTGTGATAGCCCATGCTAGTCCCCAATAATTATTTTACCCCACAAGCTTCCAAGCCGCCAAGTAAGCTTCTCAGCCACTAAAGCTCGTACAAATGTGATAAATCCTCAGGGTAATTCTACTATCACAACATGTCAAATTCTGATAAGATGAAGAGAGCCAATAATGAGATCCCGAAGAATCTGAAACAGTAGTGCAGAGAGACATTCCAGGGAATGAGAGGACAGAGCTCTCACTACGGAATGGATGCAACAAATTAGTACTATTCATAACTTGGTGCTTCCGCCCAAATTTAAGATGCCCGACTTTGAAAAATACAGTGGAACCAGATGCCCTAATGCCCATCTCACGATGTTTATTCGAAGAATGATTGGGTACACAAACAATGATCAGATGTTGATCCACTGCTTCTAAGCCAGTTTAATTGAACCAGCTTCAAGGTGGTACAATCAACTGAGTCGTACTCAAATTTGGGAGCTCAGGGCACACCACTGAGAATTATAGGACATTGAAGCACAAGGTCCAAGATTTGATCGATTCAGGGGCATTAACGTTCAATGTGTGATGGGGCATTCTGATCGGAAGTCGGCCGGGGCATCCATCAGGAGATTTTGTTGCATTCTCATGCATGACATCTTGTTTGAATTTGTTTTTCTTTTGTTCTTATTATGTTTAAATGTTTGTAAATCACTTGACTTTTGAAATTTTTCAATAAAATGCTTCATTCTTAGGAAATGAACAATGAGCAAATTTTAATCTTGAATTCTTTGAATATCATTTTAATGAAAAGATTTTAATAATTGAGGTTGTAAATCTTTGACAAATGACAAGATTGAACCCTGCAAAACAAGGACCTCTTGATCCTAATCCTACACAAGAATCCATACCCTTCTCTTGAAGAGACCAGGCTAGTGTTTTTTCTTGCTTGAACAGACAATCATCTTGGCATTCTGTTAATGACTCAAAACTTGAAATCGAAACTTGCATTAGTGACTAAAATGGAACCTTTACAAACATGGTGTCCAGATTCAAATATTACAGATAATATACAGTATAGGAAATCAGGGACTAAAATGAAATATGCATAAATATCACAACCAAATTAGAAAATTCACGCAAATGGTAAATACAAAGAAGTAAGGACTAAATATAAAAGGAAAATATAAAATGCCCAAAATAAAATATTATGAAATTTTATTAATGGCTACAACGAGAGGTTACAAACCAGGAGGGACCTAACGTGTAGTTAGCCCCACTCCAAAAACACGCAGAAGGACCCCCAGAACGACGTCGTTCTGCATTTAATATATATATTTAATTTAAAGGCCAAAATGGCCATCCTCTTTCATTTGTTCTCTTCAAAACGAGAGAGGAGAGAGAGAATCAGAATTCTCTCAACTCTCTCCTCTGAAGAGCTCAAACGTTCCTCCTTTTACCCTTAACCTATTTCCCACCTAGCTTAGCCTAAAAACACCTCTTGGACTGTAGATCCAAGTCGTTACATTTCGAAAAAACTGAGCTCTGATGACTCGTGGGCTTATCGACGCTCTTACAACGAAGATAAAGGCTTCTCCCCTTATTTCTCTTTGTTGTTTCTTTTTCCCCCTTTTTTAGCTTCCTTTTCTAGTTTCGATCTTCTCTTTTTTCTGTTCTAGAAACCCCCCCAAATATATCTTCAGTTTTTTTCTTTTTTTTTCACCCCCACCGAATACCTCTCATTTCTCCCCCCGTGTTTTTTATCCCCTCTCTGTGATTTTATCTTTGCATATATCATTGGTGATATCTTCTCTACTGATTTTGTGATTGATTGACTGATAGATAGACTCTTCTGATTCCTCGAGATTTCTTGTGTACTTGCATGATTTTATTTGATTTTTTAATCATGTTTTCTCTTTGATTTGCATGACTGATGTGGTCTCGGTCACTGTTGGTGATAACGTCGACAGAGACGGTCGGAAGGGAGGCTCGACTTGGTGGCTCGAGAACTCGGTGAAGGCTTGGTGATCGGCTAACGACTAGGAAGCTGAGGAGTTGAAGCGGTGGCGGCTATTGGATGATGCTTAGGGTTGAAACCCTAATCTGGGTTGCTTGTGGGCCGTTGATCTTCCTCCAGATCTAACGGCTGGTTTAAAGGCGGCTAGGGAGAATAGGGTGAAACCCTAGCTGAGTTGGGTCCTTTGTTTGGGCCTGGACCGGTTCAGGTTTGACTGATGGGTCTGCTGAATGTTGGGCTCCGGGATTGGGCCTTTGTAATTTGGGCTTCAAGGCCTGCAAAATTGTAATATGTAAATTTCAAAATAATAATAATAATAATAATAATAATAATAAATTAAATAAAAAACCCGAACAAAACGGGTGTCTGCAATATGTATATACTTTTAAAAATTATTATTTCAATCAACAACATCTAAAGCATGTAGTTAAAAATTCTCAGTTGGTACTTCTTTTCTCTTATAAATTGTGGATTTAATATATATTACGAATAAATTATCTTTTCCCCTTCCCCGGTAAAATTATTTTTAAAAATATCATTATTTCATGTGTTGATTATATGTAAAAACAACATTTCATAAACAAAATTGATATGTTACCATATTTCCGTACACGATGGTATACAATGCGATGGTATACAAAGTTTAATACATATTCATAGTTTAGTTTTGGTGCATCTAATATTATCATTATTGAGGTTCTCAAGAAATGCTTGCGTTGATATTGAAATTTGTATTTTATGCTACCTTTGACATACATATTAGTTTAAAAATAGTTTGTCAAATCTGAGAATTGGTATAAAGTTAAAATTTATATTTTAAACATATTTTGTCAAAATAAAATATGACCACCTTCGTTCATACGTGCAACCCAGAGATAAATAATATAGATTTTGCATTCGTCGTTAGGCGTTAAGGCGCACATATTTGAAGCTCATGATGCAGGTGACACTGGTAGTATGAAGAATGAGCTATTAGCGACGATAATTACGCTCTTAATTTGTGATTATACGAACGAACTAATGTTGGTAACGTAATAAAATTACGTTAACTTGTTGCTTGCTTCGTCTTCAATTAGACCGATAGATACAGACATCTCAAAAGTTAAATACGATTGATTCTATAATTTGCATGGCGCCTATTAATATTATAGAACAAACATTTCTATAGAAACAAGTAAATCTTCAATGAAGATCAGAACTTTCCCTTGAATAATAAACCTTTCATTTTAATTTAAAGACAACCCATGTAAATGCAAATCAGACAATAATTGAAGCAAACATACCCACCTAAAATAATATTAACCTAAAGTTCCGAATCATCAAGGAAAAACATAATATTAATTGAAGCAAGCACAAGTCTATTTAAACCTTAAATCCCTCATTAACTAAGTCTATCAAAACAAGACAAAAGATGTCTCTGTCCCCAAAACTTAAACATGCACATTAGAGCACATAACCCCGACCTCATTTGCCTCCATGCTTGGCCTTCTTGTGAGAATCTAAACCACCCTCGGACCCGAAAGACCTGTCCACAGAAACATCAAGGGAGTTAGTTAAGCAACAACTTGATCAAAATTGGAAGCAAGTTTCAAAGTGGCAAGGTAATGTACTTGTTTACAAGAACCACAAGAGAATTGACCACCAGACTTTGGAGTCTTTATTGAACTTTTCCCAGCCTGCTTTGCTGGGTAGGCGTTGCTGTGTGACCACCCTTCTTACCATCTACCATCGCAAACAATAATCAGAACAGAGTAAAGAAACTAATAGGCCAATCATGATTAAAAATATGTTGAAAATATATGAAGTGGCAGAAATGTATGAAACTGTGGAATTTCAAGCAAACAATGATAATGACCTGTCTTCTGAGGAGTAACTGCAGATTTAGCCTTTTTTGAAGAAGCAGGAGTTGCAGGTTCCGCAGGTCTCTTCTTGCTTGACTCGACCTTCGAAACGAAAAAGTCACAAATTACAATTATGGAATCAGGTCAGCTTCAACAATCCAAAATATAATTAAATGTCCATAACGATACCTTCTTTGGTGTTTCTTCATCCTCCTCATCTGAAGTATCATCCTCAGACATCTGTTCACAGACCAATGAAATCACATATCAGAATCAGAACCAAAGACCAGTCACAATACATAAAATAAGAAGTCAATCATACAACAAAATAACAAATTAAAATTTCAAGGCAAGTTATGAAAAGAAACCTCATCAGAATCCTCCTCATCCTCAGAATCTTCATCATCATCCTCGGTTTTCTTGCTAGGTTCTGCTATCTTCACAGCCGATTTAACAGGCTCTGGTTTCCCAGCATTAGCCTTGGCTGTTTTTGCATCTGCCTTGGCTTTTCCTATGATGTAAGAATATGTTAAACAGATGAAATAGGAAATAATCAAATCTCCAACCATTGATGTAAATATGGGTACAGAAAGAAAGATTACCGTTTTCAGCAGCAACCAGAGGAAGCTCCTCCTCCTCATCACTACTTACTTCATCACCAGACATATCTGTAAATAAGAATAACACACATGAGAAATACAGTATACTTCACGAAAATGAAAAAAAACATATAGGAATAATTTATTCAAGGCCTCACCAAAATCATCAGTGACACAAGAGAGCATAAGAGTCAAGAAAGAACAAGATTGAACAGGAACACTTCACATTCACTTAAAAAGCATGGTAATTAAAAACAAGTAAACAAATTACAATTAATAAAAGGATATCCTTCCTCTGGCACGTAAGTTTTGTAACCAAGGAAATAGACACTCCCATTCTTCCAGTTATGTGAAAGCTCAAACTCTTGGTCAAATACCAAATCGAAAGATAATTGGGGGCAATTCTGGTGGGAAAGAGTTCCAAGAACAAGTTTTTTCCCATCAGTATTCACATAGAGCGGAACAGAATCTGCCTTGTTCTTTGACTCACCAAGTGATGCCTGAAACACAAGCAACATTAAGAATAAACTGACCATATACAAGCATATCAACCTCTTCAACTAAATAACTCCAAACCTGGGACAAATGGATGACATAATCAGCACCAGGATCCGCTTTAATAGGCTGTCCGGCCTTAACTTCAATACCTAATAGTAAGATAAAAACATTACTAAATCTTTTGGTCCAAACTAAAAAAAACTGAATATCCGCAAATGTATGAATCAGCTCTCTAAACGTTACATATAAATCGGAAGTAAACTATCACGCTTAACAAGCTTTCATTCAACGAGCACGATATGAAGTTAACCGATATATCCGCAAATGTATGAATCAACTCTCTACACGTTACATATAAATAGGAAGTAAATTATCACACTCAACAAGCTTTTCATTCAACGAGCACGATAAGAAGTTAAACCGATATACTGTAACTATCATCAGTCTTATTTTTTAAATAAATCTCACTGCTAATATATCAAATAATAGTTCCTATATTAATAAGATGTATAAGACTAACTCAAAGAAATTTCAAAGCAAGCCAAACACATACATTCGGAGAAAAAATAAGAGTTATAATCCAAGGAAAGACTAATACTATCATTTTAGTATAAGAAAGGGGCACAGGTTAAAACTTCCAAGAAAATATCTATTAACTCTTAAAAACATAGGAGTAGACAAAATAAAATAGATTAGGTTAAGGAGAGAAAAGCTCAAACTATAAAAGAGAAATAAAAGCAAAAGGTCAGAGGGAAGAGAAAAGCTTACCCCAGAACTCCATGGAAGAGGCTTAAGGTTTTGGGAAGAGATATCTAGGGTTTTAGAATGAGAAATATGGTATACTAGAATTAGACTCTTCCCGAAGAGGCGGGAATGACCGAGGCATTGAGATGAATTTATAAGCAAATGCCGTCAGATTGTGTTTATTCTAATTTTAGGGTTTCTTCTTTGGGATTCTTTGGTTTGGGAGGGTTTATTGTTTGAACTTTAGCCCAATTTATTTGGACCTCGAGAAAATAGTCTGACCCAATCAAGACTTTAAAATTTAAATGACACAGGCTTCGGCCTATATTTTAAATTAACCTAATCAATGCTGTAATAGCTGTGCACTGTAAACTAAAAAAAACCCATAATAACTCTTTTAAATTTCGATAGTAAATTTCCCTATACATTACTAACTATCAAGTTATTTTTAAAATAAATTTTATAATTATTTGTGTTTAATTATTAATTAATTAATTAAAATCAAATATTAAAAATGATATTATAAAATCAATATTCTAAATTTAATTTGATTTATTCGTAACCTTCATATTCAAACTCATATATCTTTAGATTTGAATAATAAAAATTAAACGAAGTTTGTCACCCATATAATTTAAGATTTAATATGAGTTAATTGCATCATACATCCTTAAATTATAATCATCTTTTAAAGTTGACTCCTAAACTTTCAAATATTTCAATTCATCTCTAAACTATGACTATCATTTCTGATTTTGTTATCAATTTTTTGAACATTTTAATTTTATCCAAACTAAATCCTTCATTCTAAATTGATCCGCAAGCTTTTTCAACATTTTAATTTCATACAAAGTTATATGTATATACTAATCACATTCCATATTAATAAATTTTTTAGGCCAAACTATATTATTATATGTTTGAAAAAAAAATAAAGTTTAGGTTAAACTATGGTTAACTAATTACATTTGGATGAATTTGGAATATTTAAAAGTTTGGGGCCAATTTAGAATGATGATCATAATTTGTGGATAAATTTGGAATGTTCAAAAGTTTAAGGACTAATTTAAAATGAGTATCATAGTTTGAGGATGAAATTAATATTCAAAAATTTAAATACTAATTTAAAATTAAAATAATTTAGATATATGATGCAATTAACTCTTTAAATAATAACACCATATATCTTAGAATTTAAATAATAAAGTAAGATTAAAAAAACAGATCTTAAAAGAATCATTGTCAAAGTTTAGATTTATGAATGGAACAATCTTGATTTTTTTTATATAACACTAATTTCGATACCTATGATGTTAAATGTTAATCACACCTGAAAATAAACATTATTTCAATCGATTATCATTCACAACTGATGTTAATAAGCTGAATTTTTTTAACATAATTTCATTTAACAAATGATAAAATTTCAAAGTAAACCCAAAATGTTGGTCCGCGTTATGAGGCTAACGTTTGGTTTTAGAAGCAAAACCCGGAGGAAAACAGAAGTAATTAGGGCAAAAAATGACGTCGATAATATCTTCGTCAGCCTTCCCGACGCGGTCCCTCAACTCATTCCCGACTCTCTCGGAACGTTCCAGCAAACTCAACTCACTGTCATGGGCCTCTTCGTTTCCCTGTGTCAACATCTCCGTTAACTCATTCACACCCCCTCCTGCTCCATCTCGGCACAAGGTATTATTTTTTGTTCTAACGTTATAGTTTTAGTTCCTGGGAAAGAAATTTGGATTAAGCAACGTTCTTCTTATGTTCAACGATGAACCTGGAAAGATTAAGTTTATTTATTTACTTGATGGAAATTGTAATAGGTGAACAAGCATGCTTGGTTAATGACCAAGATTGGTTATTTCGCATATGTTTCCCATGGAGGAATCAACACTAGGGGAAACATTTTGATAGTAAATAGAAGTGTTTCTCCATTATTGTTAATGTAATGGATATTAATAATTGGAGCCATAAATCTCCGTTTATTTTTTACCAAGTCCAGTTTGCTTGCGTTGCCCTTTTGTTGATATACTCTTCTAATTGAATTCAATGATGATGAACTTTATAAGAGTTTGCTGGTTTTGGAAGGAATAATATTTTCTATTCAAAAGAAGGGATATCTATCTATTTATATATACATTGTGCCAATAAAAATTTCGTAGTTTAGAAATTGGAACATTATTGTTGGTATCGAATATGCCTAGGTATTGACGCTTTTACGCAGCATTTTTGCATGTGGAGATTTATCTCGAAGCCAATGATGGTTATTAGACACAGTTTCTGATGAATATATCATAAAATCTTAAACTTCATTCTCTGGAGTAAAAATATCATTCATGGTGCTTCTGTTTTTTATGGTTGATATGAGACAACATCTTGCTTTGTGGTTTGTTTTGCTATTACCTGCTTGTTCGCAGCGGGCAGTTAACAGCCAATTGCAAAATTTACTGGCAAAGTCCAATTGCTATACACACACATATATAAAGATCAAAATATCCTCTCAACGTTGTTCTAGATGTGGAATGCATCTGAATGATAATTTTAGTCATTTTTGTAGACAACATGGATCGGTGCAACTTTTAATACTCTCAGGATCCAGAGTTGTTCAAGTTTAGCTCCATGTTGAATAGTAGTAAAGTTCTTTGCTTTGATTTGTTATATGATAGTAAGTTATGATTTCTTGTTGCGCACATTTAGTTAATTTTGTCTGACATATTTATCTTCAGGGTTCTTTTGTTCGAGCTGCATGGACCAGGAGATCACGTGGCGAACATGCAAAGCAACCCAATAGGAAATCATGGAAACAGAGGACAGATATGTATATGAGGCCATTCCTACTAAATGTTTTCTTCTCGAAGAAATTTATTCATGCAAAAGTGATGCATCGGGGTACAAGCAAAGTGATATCAGTCGCAACCACGAATGCCAAGGTTCTTAGAAATGATTTGCCATCACTCACGGATCAAAATGCGTGCAGAGTAATTGGGAAACTTATTGCAGAACGATCAAAGGAAGCCAATGTCTACGCAATGTCTTATGAGCCTAGAAAAGGTGAGAGGATTGAAGGTAAGCTAGGAATAGTTCTTGACACCATTAAGGAGAATGGGATCATATTTGTTTGAGCCAATCAGCACATTGCTGTCGTAAATTAATTAATTGTAATTTGTTAACTGAACTTTGAAATGCAATCAATATTGAGCTTTACAATACAATCTTGGTTGTGCACTGGAGTATGAGATGATGAACGATGTGCTGCAAAAGACCTGCAAATATTCTACTGGCATTCAGCCTAAACATATGATCTTGTGAGCAAAATCAAATTAACATTTATTCAAAGCATAAGCTGTAAACAGGAACATAAAATGAAACAGACTAAATTACTGATATAAGTTAAATGTATATTTGACACCTGAACTTGTTGCACATTGTTGATGTTTTTATTTTTTTTAAAATGTTTATATCAAAAAATTATTTCATGAAACTTCCTTATGATATCATTTATGATAAAAGTCACTTTACCTTTTTTTCTGTCATGTTACTAATTCATTAATAATTAACTTTAAAGTAACTATCCACTCTTATATTTATGTGAAAAATCATTTTTGAAAAAAATAACAGAAAAAGAAAATGAAATGAATGAATTTTATTAGTTGAGATGAGAAAAAGGGCCAGCCAGCTGTTAGGGGTCCTTTTGGGTCAGATTCATGTAATACTGTCGAGAGTAGGGAGAGCTTATTAAAAACAAAATATTGAAGGAAGTTCCAAAAGATGAAGGAGTAATGGCCACGCCTGCAAATGCACCACCGAATTGCCTTCGGTGTCCAGATGCTTTGCTTTGCTTTGCTCACACTTTCTTTTATTTTCCTCTCAGAAAGATGGCAAAAAGGAATGAATTGAGTGGAAGTTATTATAGTTGACTGCTGGGGACTCCACTTTCTGGTTATTGGATGGATTGGGTTAAGTGCCCTTACTGGCCTACCAGCATTTCATTATTTGTAGTGGTCCTTTTATAAGGTAGCATACCACCAATAAAGATACAGGTTCTATCCCCAATTTGTGCCTTCTTTCATATCCTTTTCCCTCAATAAATAATTCATTTTTAAAGCTTAATTATGATCTCTGCTTGCCAAAGTGCTGACAATCCTTTCCAAATAAGCCTCACAAATGTATAAGATTTCCGATCGCTAATTATTGTTTGGTGGAATCCTTTGAATGTGATCTGATATTCATATTCATAACTAATATATCTCATTCATGGACTATGCTAAAATGACAGTAACTGATCATTGTAAGCTATCCTTACAGTACAGCATTTTCCCTATTCAACATATTACTTCCCTCTCTCTTTCTACAAATATACATGGTTAAAACTTTAATATGGCCACTTGACTTATTCTCTTTGATTAACTTGGAGCAGCTCATATTTATTATAACACTCAGGTTCTATCTCTGAACTCGATCAGATCGGTATAATACTTTGAAATCCAGCTCTTGATTATCCGAACTTCTGTTTTCGTTGCTTGATCAACCATGGTGGATCAGTTTTCATTTCCGGTAAAAGATCCAAGCAATGAGATCCTACAAGAAAGAAGAAAAAAAAGGTTGAACGGATTCATATTAGTGTATGTTTTGAAGTGACAGGAACTAAGAGAACATATAGCCGTTTACATATTTCGTAAGAGATGGTATATAAAGTACCATTTACTGTATATACTGCAGCAACACTATCTGATATGTTCTCCAATACCCTGAAGATAAGATAGGAATATTTGACATGTAAGTTATGTGTATGATCAAATGATTGAATGCGAATGATATGCAGAAATCAGATTATTATATAAATGAATTGTATGGAATTCATTTTGGTACCCGCCGCTGCTGTAAGGATCTCTGAGGCCATTAGAGAAAATGATGTTGCTGGCAAACCTATGGAGAATCAACTTTAAATCCTGTACAATGATAATGACAAGAGACTTTTAAGGTTTGGGTTTCAGTATTAATAAGGATGTAATGATTGGGAAAGGAGATTAAAGGACACAAACATGGCCTCCATAGTAAGTTGTCACCCAATGTGGGCGAGGTTGGACACCAAATAAGCTCTTGCACTCCCTTATGAACTTGTTTAGATTGAATGGCGACGGTGGGAACATTGAAGCACTGTGTTCATGGCCTATAGGTATCACCATCTCACTACATGTCTGTAAAGATCAAATCCCATGTAAAATAATCTCATTGGGAATTGCATGCAATCATGAAGAAAGAAAGTTGAGTGGCATTAACATCCCATAATTTCCATACCTCAGAAAATCGGAGAATTCAAATATCAACATCTACAACTCTCGATTATAAAACCAATTATTCTAGAAGATTTTACTTGATATATGGAGAGTAGCATCAGCTAGCTATAGTAACCTCTCACCTGCCATTTCCAACCCATATATGTTTCATCGGTTGGATGGTCGAACTCATCCATGTCATAGCATGATTTATTTCTCATGTAAGCACAACACCGGCGAATATTCGGCCAAGTATATCCGTCCCTTTTGGAGCTCCTTCGATGCCACGACAGACAATATTAAGGGGATAAGTTGGAGGACGATCATATTGAGCTACTACAGAATATTGAAACCAAATAGTCTTTCAGATCGAAATTCTCTTCAATTTTCTGAATAATAAGAAGATACAGAGCAAATAGGTTAGTTATCAGTGCCTGTAATAACATTAAACATGGCATATTGACAACATAAGTGGTCATTAAATAGTTTACGTACTTGCAAGTTTTGAACCTCTTACATGTCTGTAAAGAGGTCAAATCCCATGTAAAATAATCTCATTGGGAATTGCATGCAATGAGAAGAAAGTTGAGTGGCATTAACATCCCATATATTCCATACCTCAGAAAATCGGAGAATTCAAATATCAACATCTACAACCTCTCGATTATAAAACCAATTATTCTAGAAGATTTACTTGATATATGGAGTAGCATCAGCTAGCTATAGTAACCTCTCACCTGCCATTTCCAACCATATGTTTCATCGGTTGGATGGTCGAACTCATCCATGTCATAGCATGATTTATTTCTCATGTAAGCAACAACACCGGCGAATATTCGGCCAAGTATATCCGTCCCTTTTGGAGCTCCTTCGATGCACGACAGACAATATTAAGGGGATAAGTTGGGACGATCATATTGAGCTACTAGAATATATTGAAACCAAATAGTCTTTCAGATCGAAAACTTCTCTTCAATTTTCTGAATAAGAAGATAGAAGCAAATAGGTTAGTTATCAGTGCCTTGTAATAACTTGAAACATGGCATATTGACAACATAAGTGGTCATTAAATAGTTTACGAATTGCAAGTTTTGAACCTCTTCCTGAGGATTGAAAGACCATTAAACTTCGAAGCAACTTATCAATTTCATCCCTGACTTCCGGATAATTTCATAGCATCTTTCACTAGTTTCCTGTCCATTATAGAACAAGTTTAAACTATATTAAAAGGGAGGGCTTTAGTCAAAAGAGAATCAAAACCAGACAACTATAATTTTTGAAGTTTTTATTTTGTTTTTACTTTGAAATCCTTAGTTACAATGGCGTAGTAACCAACTTGTGGTGCAAGGTCATCAAAGAAAGAATGGAGCTGAGGATGCAAGAGCTCCAAGAGCAACATGTGGATACTTTAGCCGAAACCATGCAGCAAGCACTGCAAAACATATGAAATTAAGAATATTGTTTTAGATTAAAAGAACCGGAATTTGTGTTAACTTACTTCCTCCATATGATCCTCTGATGAATCACCGGGAATTCTTTGCCGAGAAATGTTTCTTGATATGGAATAATGGCAGCATAGTCTGCAATAGCTTGAGCTGAGGAAGTAACCCCTAACACTGGCGTTTCTCAAAGCTGCTTCCCTTGATCCAAGTGGTATGGATTTCCATAGAATCGATGCCGCAAGGATTACAATGGCATGGTTTCTGAGTAAATTAAAGTCTCCAAGATACATAAAGACTTAAAAAAATCTTCTTCTTTTATGAAATGGTAGATTCATAATCTTACCTCATATATATTTAAAAAAAATCTTCTTCTTCTTCTTTTATAAAATGGTATATTCATAATCTTACCTCTATATATACTTAAAAATCTTCTTCTTCTTTTATGAAATGGTAGATTCATAATCCATAATCTTACCTCTATATATACTTAAAAAATCTTCTTCTTCTTTTATGAAATGGTAGATTCATAATCTTACCTCTATATATACCTGCAAAGCCTTGAAACGAGGGGCATTATCTCTGAGAAACCAATGCCAAATAAATCATAATCCAATGACCTTCGGCCCCAAATAAACCAAGATTGGTGAACTAGTGTTTGGACCCCCCTGTTTAGAATCGATTATATATCTTTGAGGAAAGCTGGTGAACTTTCAGGTTTGTAGTTGAAGTGATCAAGTGTCTGGCTGTTAAAAAATGTCTCAAATCCTCCGAAACCGACCCCGATTGAGATTTACTTCGGATTGTTCTTCGAAGTTCTCCGAGCCTTGGAAGCTGAACTGTGTTCCGGAGACACAGGATAAGAATTAAAGAAAACAAAAGCAAATGATGATGAAATGAGTGTCTCGTCAAGTCCATGGACTTTGTTTATCTGCAAGATTTGAAGTTCTTTATCTTGAGCTATATTCTAGTTCAAGATGAGCATTCTATTTATACTACGTAAGAGATGGGGGTTATTATTGTTAATTGAATTTTGTACACTGCAATTTATAAATAATAATATATTTTAAATATTTGCAGCAGTAGCTCCAGTCTTGGCGATGTTATAAAGAGTCCAAGGTTTGATTATCCCGTCCTTAATTCTCAAAGATAATGTGGGAAAGGGTATTTACCACTTTTCCTTTTGTGAATCACATTGATCAGAAGGAATGCAAAGAAAGAGAAATGGTTTAAAACTAATATATGAGACACCATTGACGACAGAAGCCCTCGATGCACATTGAACGTTTGATATTTTTCTTTAAATATCTGACAGTTAAATTTAATCGATAAATGTTTTTTTTAATTATAATTTATATTTAAATTAATTATCAATTGAACTAATAAGATTTAATGTTAATCTTTTAAATAATAAAATAAATAAATTTTAGCATTATAAA